AAAAAAGAGTTTTGAGAAAAATCCAAGAAAAGAAGAAGTTAAAGAGAAGGAGGATAGAGGTAGAGAAAAAAAAGAAAAAGAGGACTGGAGAGAAAAGTGAAAATAAAGAGAGATTAAGAATAATATTTGGAACCATCTAACAGTATTCAATGTAATAGGAATGTGTGAAACATGAATAGAGGAAAAAGATGGGAAGAGAATAAAGAAAAACTTATCGAAAAAATTCGCATGGAGGTACCAATAGGCAATTAAAGAAAAGAGGAAAGACAGAGCAAGAGAGGGAATAGTTATAGGAATAAGAAAAGAGATAGAGAAAATCGGCACTGCGGATATGCATGACATTGACTGATTGCATGAGAGTAAACTGATGATAGAAAGGGAGATATGGAGAATTTTGACTGTTTAATAATGGGAAGATAAAAGATGAAAGAAAAGAAATTGAAAAGAAGATTAAGGAGTTAGAAGAAGAAATATTTTGCATAAAAAAGGATTTTAATATCAGGATTGGGACAGAAGAAATAAAAGTGAAAAAGAGAAGGACTGGAAAATACGGAGATACTCTAAAGAGATAGGGATATTGTTGATTATTAGTGAATATTACTAAGCTTATGTGCACTGCTTATATCGGATCATGTTTATTTCAAATCTGAAAAACAATTCCTGAAAGCAGAATAACAAAAATGCAATTGTGTCTAATGGAAAAACGAAACAAAAAAGAATTATTAATATAGGCACAGAAAACAGAAATAAGACTTATCCGATTAAATCCGAGAAAAAAGCCACAAGACCTTGTGGTTTGCACGCGTGTGTGTCGCTCGCTCGCTCGCATCGGAAATGGAAGAGTCCTTCCGTAATCGGCATCGAGTGCCTCTGCTTCCTTTATCACGCCATCTATTATATTATTATCCTGAATAATGCAGGTAAATTAACCAGCTTGAAAATTATTTTCTTCAAGAGATAAATAAGGAGGGAAGAGTATTGCTGTGTTTAATAAAAGATAGGAGTTGGGACATTGGGAACGGAAATATGAAAGAGGATGAGAGAGGGAGTTTCACATACACAGGAGAAAAAGAAGAGTCTGTAATAGACTATATTTATAGACATAGTATACCTAGACCAAGTATTAAGGAGTGGGGGTTGTCAAATATTAGACAGAGATAGCATGCTTTGTATCACCATTCTATTTTCGTCTGACAATGTTTGGAGTGGGGATTTCAACCCCACTATATGTTTAAAGTGGGGAACGTCTCATTCCACTGTTTGTTTACAGCGAAACAGAGCGTCTTTATATTTGTTAGTGCTAAACTTTCAAGGTTATAAATAATACAAAAATATATAATAAATATATAAATAAATAAATATATATATATATATGTATATATCCATAAATGTAGAAGTAGTTCGCGGTCCGACAGACAGACAGACAGATAGACGGTACTTATATATATAATAGATATAATATATATAATACATATACATATATATAATACACATACGTATATATATATATATAAACAGGGTATCCCATAATAACCGTCTATAATATTTATAATCCCCATAATATAGTCCCATGATCACCTCTCGTGTGCAGGTAAAACAGGTAAAACCGAGAAAAAAGCCTTTTACCATTTTGCGATTTTTGTAATAAATATGGTCAATCTTATTAGTTGATCTTTTTTAATTAATTTCTCAATAATTATTACGAAAATTGCAAAATAGTAAAAGACTTTTCTTTTCGGTTTCACTTGCTCTATCTGCACACGACGGGTGATGCGATTGACAGACAACCTGTATATATACATATATTATTATTATTATTATTATTATTATTATTATATATAATATAGGGGAAAGTAGGGTAAAACCGAGTACTTTTTTAGATTTGTTTTCCTACAAAAAATCTGAGAGTAAAAAAAATTTTGCCGACCGTTAGTAGTCTTTAATGAACCTTAAACTATGAGAAAATAAAGCTCGTCGCTGAAAAAAAAGTTTTGGTTACCAATAATAACAAGATTTTGTGGAGAAGTCAAAGTACCCAGTTTTGTCCTACCAGTAGAGTCAAACCGGATATCCATTTGAAAATATGCAAAACACCGTATAATTACAAAATCTAGATTTATTTTAATCAAAATCAGTATAAAGATGTATTCTATTGACAAAAATCACAAATAAAGATATCCTCTTGTTCGACATTGCTGCAGGACTTTCTTATTTAACTTTTTAACTTTAGGGGTCTCAAAAATCTTTTTTCTTAGTGGTTTCTTTTTCTGAGCATTAGTTTTCGTTTACAACTGCTTTTTGTAGGGACACAAAGTCAGGATAACAGTTCTTCCTCTTTTCATTATATGAGATGTATAATTACCCAATTTTGCCCCAACACAAGAAAAGTAACAAATACGGCGGTTGTATATTCCGGCGTACAAAGTGCCGATAAAAACTAATATGATATACTCTCTAATATGTACAGAATGCAATATTGCTCTTACCGAAACAGATGCTCTATATAGAGAAAGTGCACGACGACTCGATATCTATCTTTTTTGGGCTAAAAACTTTGAACTTCTATTAAAAAAGAAATATCGTGTGCACAGGGGCACGGTTTGTTTTAAAATAATGATGGCGCCAATCTACAACTAATAACACAAGTTAGATATAGATAGCAGCATTTATTACGAAAAAACAAGGGTACCCGGTTTGACCCGCCGACCCGGTTTTACCCAACTTTCCCCTATATATAATATTTTCAATATTCATTATTTTTTCAACTATTTTATACAATATATTTTTCAATTTTTTTTTATTTACTTATTATTTCTCATGAATATAATCTATTATTATATACACTTTATTCTTAATTTTTTATTCTTTATTACTTATACTTTATTGTTCATAATTATTTTTTTTTAACGATGAATATTATATGGTGTGGAAAATCGTTTTTCGGAATTTATATTATTAATAAATATTATAGTAAACTGAATCCGCATGATGTCAATATTTTCAATTCTCCTTCATTCCCACAGAAAACCCGTTCCCCAACAATTGAGTTGTTGATAAGTAAAATTTTACATCAAAAGAAGGGTCCATTTCCAGACGAACTAAAACAATTTGCCTGTACATTGCATTTTTATTCGCCGGCAGCATATAAAGATGTAAGAAAAACATTAATGAATGTTCTTCCGCATTAGAGCACAATTCGGAAATGATTAAGTGCAGCCAATAATGAACCGGGAATTTCGATTAATGCGATGAAGCATGTGTCCGAATTATGTAAAAATGCCGAAGCTAGAAATAAGAAATTATATTTTTCTTTATCATGCGATGAGATGGCGATTAGAAAACCGGTGGAATTTCACGGAAAACAAAGGCATGGATATGTTAATATTGGAGATAACAGCAATGAGAGTGATAACAATACGGAAGCAACAAATGCTCTCGTATTCATGTTAGTAGGCATTAATCCATATTTTAAAATTATAGTCGCCTATTACTTAATCCACACATTAATGGGTAAGAAAAAAGTAATATTTTGAGTGACATATTGCACGTTACACATTCTCATACAATTCCGATTTGTAATATTACTTTTGATGGAGTGTCTACAAATATTTCTATGGTGGAAAAACTGGGAGCCAAAATTTAAAGTTCTCCAGATAAGTTAATAACTCACTTTGAAGATCCTGTAACAAAAGAGCCCATAACAGTTATGTTGGATGCTGCTCATATGCTGAAATTAATAAGAAATACATTGGCTGCAAAACAATTCTTCACAGATATGAACGAAAATACTTGATTTTGCTTATGGAAAAACAAGAAGAAGAAGGGCTTCATTTAGCAACTAGAATTCGTCATAAACACATTGATTTTACCAATGAAAAAATGAAAATTCGACTAGCCGCTCAGATCTCCAGTTCCAGCGTTGCAAACGCTCTGAAAACCTGTGAAAAAGATTTCAAGTTAATGCAATTTCAAGGTGCAACACCAACAGCAGCATTTTGTCAGATAACGATATATTCGATCTGCTTGATTCAAGAAACCTTCTGACAAAAAAACCAACCCACGAGCAATTTCTGTTGAAAATTTAAAGGATATAAAAATGAGTGCGGAAAGTTTCATTGAATATATTGAAAAGATAAAAGTAGATACAACACCTATAATCCAAACTAGAAATAAAACAGGTTTTCTAGGATTAATAATATGTTTAAAAAGCATGATCTTTTTGGCCGAACGATTGTTTTCAGAAAAATACGTCACCTTCTTGTTAACATATAAAATGTCTCAAGATCATCTAGAGACGTTTTTTTTTCTTCTATACGACGTTGTGGTGGATTTAACAACAATCCAACTGTTCGACAGTTTATAGCAGCTTTAAAAAAACTCCATGTGCATGTCAATATTAATATTATCTTTAATGGAAATTGTACACTTAAAGATGACACTGTCCTTCTCAAAGTAAATACAATGAACTACAGTGGTGAAGAAACAAATTGGATGGAAGATTTCATTTGGGACGTGAAGATTATGATTATACAATCCAACCATCAATTACATTCAGCGAATATCAAGCTGATATTCTAGCATACATTGCAGGATTTGTTGCTAAAAAAACGGAAACAAAATGAAGTTGTCATTTGTGCATTGAATGCTTGAAGCGAATAAAATCACCATTCAAGCTGCAAACAAGAAAAGCTTATGGTAAATTATTTAATGCGTCCGACGATGTAATTAAAATTTATAAAACAGCAGAAAATATTATTAGAACGAATGGAAATATCTTGACTTCTAAAAATGTAATCAAGAAAAACTTATACATTTAACACTAATAAGACTACGAGTAAATGATTTATTCACTGAAGTGGAACACGCTTTTGATCAAGCTCCCTTGACGGATCACAAGAATCAATTGATTCGCATTATTTTAGAAAAAATTTTCACTCTTAGTATGCATCATTATGCAGCTTCACAGAATAACAAAATCGGACGGATAAGGTGTTAGGAACTCAAAAGTTCATTGCCGCAAATACCAAATCCCGCCAATACTCCTGATCCCGAGCAAGATCCTTCCATTCGCGACCCTCGTACCCCATCTCGTTCAGATCCATTTTAACATTATCTTCCCACCTACGTCTTAGTCTACCCAAAGGTCTTTTACCATTGGGTTTACCAATTAGTATTCTATATGCGGTTTGATCACCCTCGTTAATAATATCCGGACTGTATAATTGATACAATTCCGCGTTGTGTAATTTTCTCCATTCGCCCGTTTCCTCATCGCGTTTTGTGCCGAAGATTTTTCGAAGTACTTTATTTTCGAATACCCTAAATTTTTTTTCGTCTTGTAACGTAAGAGAACACGCTTCGCAGCAATAAAGGACTACCGGTAAAATAATCTTTCTGTAAATCCTAATTTTCAGACGCCTAGACAACAACCGCGAACCAAGTAGTTTATTAACCAAATAAAAGCACGCATTCCCCAAATTAATTCTTTTCTTAAGCTCTTCTCTTATTTTATTAGTTTGGTTTAAAATCGATTATAAACACACAAAATTACTGACCCGCTCAAATACTTTATCACGAACGGCCAAGTCCCCGCCATTTTGAATATTCTGAATTCTATTAGTGACCATATATTTAGTTTTTTCGACGCTTATTTGCAACCCGAGTTCTTTCGTTTTAATCTAATATTTAATCTAATAAGTTTTTGAATTATTAATTATTGTTTCACTATTATCCCCCAGTAAAACAATATCGTCCGCGTATGTTAATAATTGAGTTATATCGTTCAACTGCAAACCACCTTCACTTTTCTGCATTTCTCTAATGGCATATTCCAATACTAGATTAAACAAAAGAGGTAACAATGCATCCCCCTGCTTCAAACCGCTATGAATATTAAAAATTTCCGACGTTTGATTACCAATCTTTACTCTACCTTTTGTATCTTTTAAACAAACTTGAACTAAGTTAACCAATTTTTTAGGTATCCCCAAACGAATCAAAATTTCAAATATTCTCTCCCGTTTTATCGAATCATGCTTTTTTAAAATCAATGTAGAGTTGATGTACCGGTTGATCAAATTCCCATTTTTTCTCCAAAATTTGCCGAATAGTAAAGATTTGACCCGCAGTCGATCTATTTCCTCTAAAACTACATTGATGATCCCCAATTATTTCATCTGCATATGATGCCAGCTTCATCAATAAAATATTCGACAAAACTTTATAGCAGGTTGGTAAAAGTGAGATGCCCCGATAGTTATTACAATTCATTTTGTCCCCCTTTTTGAAAATCGGAATAACAATTGTATCTTTCCATTGTTCCGGCAATACTTCTTTATTCCAAATTGCATTAATTAATTAATGAATTTCTTTTAATAATCTATTTCCCCCCCATTTAATTAGTTCTGCCGGAATCAAATCAATACCCGGTGCTTTGTGATTCTTTAGTCTTTTAATCGCTCTTTTTACTTCTACAATCGTTAGTTCGTTAATCATGAGCTCAGCCGTGTGAATCTCAAGACTCTCTATTTCCAGGTTGTTTTGAAATTCAACATTTAATAACCGATCAAAATAATTTTTCCAAGTGTTTAATACTCCGGTTGCATCTGTAATTAAATTATCGTTCTCATCCCTCATCATTTCCGTCCTAGCTTGGAATCCCTTTCTAAACTTATTTATCCCCATGTACATATCGCGGACGTTACTACTTTGACAATTTTTATCTATTTCTTCAATTTTACGTTTTAGGTATTGACGCTTCTTATTTTTAAACATAACATGAGCCGCTTGCCTGTTATTAAGAAACTGATATCGAGTTTCCTCCGTATTATGAGTTAGCCATGTGATGTGCGCTTCGTTTCGTACTTTAGCAATTTTTACGCATTCTTCGTCAAACCATGACTTGTTTCTGTTCCTTTTACAAGAACCTGCAGTGGCTTTCGTCGATTTTGCTATCGTATCGCGTATGTTTTCCCATTGTTTGTTAACCGCGTTATCATCCGATTTATTTATTTCCTCTAAGACCGCGAATTTATTCGTTACTTCGACCGCGTATTTTATCCCGTTTTCTCCCTCGGTAAAACTTTGTACGTTTAGATGTTTAGTTCCCATCCGCTGCCCGTTAGTTTTGTTTATTGAAAGACGTTCTCTAATTTTAGCAATTACAAAAAAATGATCCGAGTCGCAATCCGCCCCCCTATAAGACCTAACATCGATTACATTCGTATGGCGTCGTTTATCCGCAAGAATGTGATCAATTTGGTTATGCGTGTTGCCATCCGGGGAAATTCAAGTTTGTTTATGGATATTTTTGTGTTTAAAAGACGTGCTTTTGAGATGAGATTTTTGCCGTTCGCAAAGTTAATTACCCTTACTCCGTTATCGTTACTTTCCTCGTGCAAACTTTCGAGCCCGATCGTTCGGCAATTGGTCCATGAGGTGTTCGAATTCCTCGTAGAACCCTCTTTAATTTCGTCATCTTTATCCTCCATCGGCGCGTGAACATTGATTATCGCGATCTTGTACTATCTACCCTGCACAACGAGCAATCCCCATCGTTTATAAATTTAATGTTTTTTACCGCGGACAAGATTTTCTTATTAATCATGAAACCGACGCCAAAACTATGGATCTCCGACCCCCTATAATGGAGCGTATACGAACCTGCGCTAAGCGAACCCTCCCCGGCCCGTCTTGTTTCTTGCAACGCGACGACCTCCACCCCATACTTCTCGATCTCCCCGATCATCGATTGAAACGCCCCAGGTCTGTACAGATTTCTAACGTTCCACGTCCCCACTTTGATATCCCTCCCGCTTTTTGACTTCATGCGGCATGAGTTCCCCGAGGCAGTCCCCACCCGGAGATCCGAACGGGGGACTAGTTTACCTCCGGATTGAAATTTTACCCCAAAAGAATCCACGACGAGTTTTGATTGTTTCTTGATAAAGTCGTTTTACGGTGTGAGCTTATCAAACCTACGCCCAATCCCCGAACAGGAGGGCTATTTCCAATGGGCTGTCCGCGACTGCTTATTCGATTTATTCGCAGCTAACCTCTACTTCTCACCGAGACAAAGAGGCCGTTCCTCTATCCGCAACCTGAAGACGTGCTGTGTCGTGATGATTGGGACCCACCCACCCCGGGGACCATTCCCGAGCGGCTGTTATGCTAACACAGTATAATTATTATTATTATTATTATTATTATCATTATTATTATTATTATTGTTATTTCACGATATTATTGAAGAGTTGAAGAATAAGAACCTAATAACAGATTCTGTTACAGAAATCATGAATGTTAGTCAATAGGATTATTTTGGGTTCAACAAATATATAATACTAGCTTTTTCGTCCGCGCAAAGCGCGGGCTGAAAAGCCTATCTAACCTTTTATAATTTTTTTTTCTTTTTTTGCGCTGGTTTAAAACGCAATCTCTGTCCAGTTATTTCATTAATAGTAACATTTTTATTTCACTTTTCAGTTTTTTTTTAGACCACACATAGTGTGTGGGTGCGTGGGTGGATGAGTGGGAGCGTAAAACTAAAAAAAAAACACATAGTAGCCATCCCCGAAAAAATAGCAAAATTTTGGTCCTGTTTAGTTTTTTTAGTTTTTCAGTTTTTTTAGACCACACATAGTGTGTAGGTGCGTGGGTGGATGGGTGGGGGTGTAAAACTAAAAAAAAACACATAGTAGCCATCCCCGAAAAATTAGCAAAATTTTGATACCAATTTCAAGAAAATCGGATTTTAATTATTAATTATAACACTTTATTATAGTACTTATACTATTCTACAAGCAGGTCTTCTTCCCTTCTCAAAAATAATAAAGCAGTTACATCGAATGCGCTATATGTATTCTCCTCCACGCCTTTCAATTCCCCTTCACTTCTCTTCATCCCCTCTACTTCTTCGTTTCCCAGTCGACGAAGGCTTCTTTACCCTACCACGCGTCGTTAGACAAAGACAGATTGGTGATCGTACAGCAACTATTTCTTTCTATTTTTTGACGCGTTCTGACTACGGGAAATATAGAGACGCGCGGTCTATATATTATACGTCTATGACTATATTATAGTTAATCAGAGGGCGTAAAATATATGCGGCGCTGCTGACAGAAAGATTGAGAAAGGAGATGGAAGAAAAAAGAGAGTATTGCGGGAGTGAGAATCACCAGTGGGGTTTAGAAAAGAAAGAGGAAGGATGGATAATGTGCCGATATTACAATATGTTATAAAAAGAAAGAGCTAAGGAAAGAAAGAGGAAGGATTTTTCATAAACTTGAAGGCAGCGTTCGATAAAATGGATAGAAAGTTGTTGTGGGAAGCTATGGAAGAAAGAGGGTATAAGAAAGGCTTAATAGAAAGAATGAAAGAGATATATAAGAGTATGAGGAATGCAGTAAGGGTGCATGGATGGGTGACGGAATAGTTTTAGACAGAAAAGCGTGTGCAGGGCTGTCCACTTAACCCGCTTCTGTTTTCAATACTAATTGCGGATGCAGAGGAAAAAATGAGGAAAGGGCAGGTAGATGATGTTCAAATGGGAAAGGAAAGATTCTAGTCATTAGCATATGCCGATGATCTAATTCTACTGGTAAAAAGTGAAAAAGAGATGAAGGAAATGATAAAGAAAATAGAGAAGTACCTAAAGAAGAAAAAATTGCAGCTATGTAAATACGGCGAAATCTAAAGTGATGTGCTTTAAGAAGCAAGGTGTAAAGGAATAAGGAAAATGGAAATGGAGAAGAGAGAAAAGCCCTTAGAATTTAAATACCTGGCTACATGTTAAAAAAGAATGGCAAAGATGAAGAGAAGAAATTAAAGATCTAAAAAAGAAGGGCAATACAGTGATGAGGCAAGTATGAGGAATGGGAGAGCGTAAATTTAGAGACGATTTTAAGAAAAGAATGATACTTGCTAAATATTTAGTGTTAGGGGTAATAATGTATGGAATAGAGATTTGGGGGTGGAGAGAAATGGAAGGATTGGAAAGAATTCGAGAAGAGGTATATAGAATGGACTCTCAGTCTCGATTCCTGCACGCCAAATTATATTATACAAGGTGTCCGGAAAATTGCCCGCAGTACTTCGGGAAGTGATTCGGGACCCAAAAAGAATGAAAAAAAGCTATATAAACATAGGTCCGGAAATAAGTCGTTTCCGAGTTATAGTCACTTTTATGTTAAAAAAATCGTAATTTATAATCCGTTTGGCATCCCTCTTTTCTAAATTTTTTTAAAATCTAAAATTTTTATTTTTTTAATTTTAATTTTTAATTTTTTTTAGTTTTTAATTTTTATTTTTTTTAAATTTACAATTTTTATTTTTTAATTTTTTTTTCAATTTTTCAATATTTGTAAATACGAGTTTTGAGATTTTGATACTCCGACTTCATCCTTTTTTAACACTAGTAGCAGAGTTACGCTCAAATTGTTCAAGTACTTCTTCTTCCGTTACAACATTTACTCTACAAGTCTGCCCTCATCTATTCTCTTTTTTAATGTATCAAATTCTCTCAAGGCAAGTTTATTTTCAGCTTTACTTTGAGTCTATAGTCTGAGTTCATCTTTTCCATTTTTCATTTTTCATTCACTCATCCCAGACAGTTTTGAATAAGTTTCAAATTATTATTTAGCAACACCTTACTTACCTTAAGTACTTTGAGATTGTACCCAATCTTTCTGTATTCATCAATGGATCGTTTGAGTTTTAATGAATTAGCTGATATACATCTTATGTATGGTCTTGCTCAAGGTAATGCTACCGAGTCAAGAAAATTATATGCCCAGTCTTTTCCAAATCGATATGTACCGGGAAGAGAGTCTTTCCAAAATGTAGACAAAACCTTGAGAGAATTTGGTATATTAAAAAAGAGAACAAGTGAGGGCAGACCTAGAGTAAATGTTGTAACGAAAGAAGAAGTATTTGAACAATTTGAGCGTAACTCTGCTACTAGTGTTAGAAAAGTTTCGGGTAAAATCGGAGTACCAAAATCAATGATATGGGACATTTTATCAAGAAATTCAATGTATCCATATCACGTGCAACGAGTTCAAGGCCTTTCTGTTGCAAATTATGGTCCCCGTTTGCAATTTTGCCAATGGGTTATAAACAGAATAAATAAAAATACGAATTTTTGTGAAAATGTTCTATTTACTGATGAAGCAGGCTTTGACAGAAATGGAATTTTCAACTATCACAACCTTCATGAATAGGCTTTAGAAAATTCTAAAGCAATTGATCAAAGGAGGCATTAACAACAGTTTAGTTGCACGGTATGGGCGGATATTATTGGTGATAAACTTATAGGGCCATATTTCTTTGAGAAGAGATTAAATGGTCAGAATTATGTGCGATTTCTTAGAGAAGAGTTAGGCCACTTTCTTGAAAACGTCCCTTTAATAATACGACAAAAACATGTGATTCATGCATGACGGTGCACCTGCGCATTTTAGCCGTGTAGCCAAAGATCATTTGAATCGAAATTATGGTCAGAGATGGATAGGGCGTGGAGGTCCGGTTGCCTGGCCCCCAAAATCGCCAGACATGAATCCACTTGATTTTTATCTATGGGGTCACGTAAAGTCAATTGTTTACAGAAATGCGCCCAATAATATTGCTGACTTAAGACAAAGAATAATTCATAGATTCGAAGAAATAAGGATGGATCCAAATGTTTTTCAAAGAGTTCGAAATTCCTTTGATAGAAGAATAAGGGCCTGTATTCGTGTTGAAGGTGGTCATTTTGAACATCTTATTTAATTCGATTTAAATACCTGTTCATGTTTATTTTTGATCTTAAAAATAATGTAATCGTATTTACAAATATCGAAAAATTGAAAAAAAAAATTAAAAAATAAAAATTGTAAATTAAAAAAAAATAAAATTAAAAAAATAAAAATTTTAAATTTTAAAAAAATTTAGAAAAGAGGGATGCCAAGCGGATTATAAATTACGATTTTTTTAACATAAAAGTGGCTATAACTCGGAAACGACTTATTTCCGGACCTATGTTTATATAACTTTTTTCCTTCTTTTTGGGTCCCGAATCACTTCCCGAAGTATTGCGGGCGATTTTCCGGACACCCTGTATACAAGGAACAGATATTGATAAGATAAGGATAATTGCAGAGTGTAGAATAGTAAAGTTTGAAAAGAAAGCACTGAAAGAGAGGAAAATATAAAGCTATTAGTAGGATGTATAAAAAAAGAAAAGAAAAGAAATATAAGAGGAGCAAAAGAGGAGATAGAGGTTTTATAAGCAGAATGGGTTCAACTCGGAAGGAATTAAAAGGCTTAGACAAAAAGGGACATAGATGGAGCTAGAGGCAGTAGTGAAAAAAACGAAAGGGAAAGGTTGGAAGGGTGGGTAGAGGGGAGAATAAGAAAATCGAAATATAATATTAGATATAAGGACAGGATGACAGTTAGAATACCGAGGTACCTAAGGATGACAAGAGAAAAAAGGAACCACAAGTTGATAACAAGGTGGAAATGCGGAAACGATAACTTTTCTCGCCACGTACTTATACTCGCACGGATTGGCTGACATTTTTTAATTAATTTCTCATTAATTATTGCAAAGATCGCAAAACGATAGAGAATTTTCCTATTCGCTTTATTTGGACATAATGGCGTGCAAAAGTTTCCGGTCAGTGACATTTCGGACTTTAATTTATAAAAAAAAAAAAGCCTAATGACTTTTTAACTATCATCTGGTGCGAGTATAATATATAGAAAACAAAATAATATAGTGAAAGAATATTGTTTATGTTTGTGAAAGTATTTATAGTTATAATTACAGGGTTGGGAAAGTTACTTTATAAAAGTAACTCGTTATCGTTACTCGTTACCAATTTTAAAAAGTAACTCGTTACCGTTACCGTTACTCAAAAAATAACGAGTCGTTACAATTTCTGTTAGTTTTTTTATATATAACAATAACTTTACATACAATTTTTTTTAATACAAAATCAAATTAAACACTAAAAATTTTTAAACATTGTCTTACAAAGAAACAAGATACCAAAATGAATTTTCAGTAGTTTTCATGTAATGCTGCATTCCAACACTCTTATCAATATTTTCCTTTGTATGAAAATTATACCGAGTAAATTCAAAAAAAGTAACGATAAAAGTAATTGGTAAATTCGTTACTCGTTACCGAAAATCGTAACGAAGTTACTTTTTCCGTTACAAACAAAATTTGTAACGCCATTACCGTTACAGTTACCGAAAAAAAGTAACTGTAACGGTAACGGCGTTACAAGTAACGCGTTACTTCCCAACCCTGTATAATTGTTATATTTACAAAATGTCACTGGCCGGAAATTTTTGCACGCCACTGTATATATATATACACAGTGTATTCAAAAAGTTCAGGGACTGATTTTTTTCTGTACGTACTAACTGCGTTATCTCTTGGCCTACACTAGGTCTAATTACTATGATACCTCTTGAATTCGCCATATTTTTTGCTGCCATTGAGTCAATAGTTTAAAATTTGAGTGCATTTAAAATTTTTTAAAATTTTTAACATTGTCACGATTTTCAAAATGAAACCTTGATTAAGTTTGTTTTAAATGTGGAAAAACTGTAACAGAAACATATTAAATAATGCAAGATGCATTTGAAAAAGATTGTCTAGCAGGTAGTAAAGCTAAGAGATAGCGCAGTCAGAAAAAGATTAGTCCCCGAACTTCTTGAATGCATTGTGTATATATACACATATATATGTATATATAGGGCGCGGGCGTCCTAGAATTTGCGGACACAAAATGCACAGCGTGATTGTGCTAGAAGAAGCAACTTTTTTCTGTGGCAGAATTGCATCTGAACACTACTTTTTAAATGAAAGCAACTTTAAGTTAACGAATGAACGCTCCAGGTTACGCATGAATCAGGGGCGGCGTGCACATGGCATGCATGGCACGCGAGCGTGTACGCTATTTTACTATTTTGTTAAAGATTTTATAAAAATTATGCATAATATCTAAATATCGCTATTTTGAATGCAATTTATTATTTTAATAAGAGAACATTGTCTAATCTTTTTGATATATCATTATCATCAGAATTCCGTATTATACGTCGAGTTATCAACTGGTTAATAACTCTGGTACCAGAAGTTATTACATGGCCTCAAGGAAATGATTTAATTAAAATTTCTCGTGACTTTCAAGAAAAAGCAGGCATATCAAACTGCATTGGAGCAATAGATGGTTCGTATATTTATATAAATAAACCTGAAGAAAATAGCAGAGAATATTTTAATAGGAAACAATGTTATTCAATCCTTTTGCAAGCTGTTAGTGATTGTAATTGTATATTGTGGTGATCCAGGCTCTTTTCACGATGTTCGTATGTTAAGAAGATCACAGCTTTTTCATATTGCTGATCAAGAAAGAGAAAATATTTTTCTAAACAAAACTTTTCTATTAGGAGATAAATATTATAATGGAGTAGCAAAAAAATGGATTGTTTGTTCTTTCAAGGATAACGGTCATTTAACAATTCAACAAGAAGAATTTAATACAAAAGTTTCAATAACTAGAATTGCAGTCGAAAAAGCTTTTAGTATTTTGAAAGCCCGATTTCGCCAGTTACATAAATTACCTTTACGCGATATTCATTTCATGACTCAAATCATAGTAGGTTGTTGCGTACTTCATAATTTATGTTTAGATAATGAAGATAACGGTGAAGATTTTTATAACGAAAATCCCGCAGCAGAGGAAAATAATCTTATACAAAATTATAATGAAGGAGATGTAATTGTAGATGAAGATTTAGAAGATCGTCGAATATTATTGTTTAGAGAAATGTATCCTATATAATACATATATCTCTCTCAAGTTGTTGTTCGATGCCGAACATCGACTCGCCCATGATGTCGAGATCGTCAGTCTCCACCATGCCTCTCTGTCTTCTGCTGTTGTCATAATTTCAGCAACTGACATGTGAGTAAGGTTTTTAATGTGATCAATGTATCTTACTGGGGATCTACCTCTGGATCTTTTGCCTTCAACTTTCCCTTGTATGGTTAATTTCTCCATACCATCTCTCCTCAAGACGTGTCCAAAAAATTTCAGCATACGTCTCTGAATCGATGACAAGAGGCGTTCATTTAATTGTATTTTTAATTCCCTGAGAATTGAGACATTTGTCCTATGTGCAGTCCAGGGGATTCTCAGCATTTTTCCGATAGCATTGCATCTCGAATGCCTCTATTCTTCGGCGACAGGAAGCATTTACTGTCTAAGACTCTGATCTATACGTTGCGATGGGGAAGTTCAGGGCCTGTACCAGTCTTTTCTTCGTCTTCTTCCGAATGCTGTGATTTTTCCATATCTTTACTAGTTTTGCTATGGTATCCCTTGCCATACCGATTCTACGTTTGACTTCTGGTTTGGATCTTCTTTTGTTTGTTATTCGTGCCCTAAGGTAGATGATGTCATCCTTTTTTCCGATCCTTTGGATCAAATGTAGATGTTGAGGAAACACTGTGGCTTTAGCCACCACCATTAAGCAACATTTAGATCTATTAAGCCTTAGTCCGGCTTCCAAGCTCACATTTTCAATGCGTCGTAATAACTCCAACATCTCTTGTTCACTGCTGGCTAGCAAGGTTGTATCGTCGGCATAACGCAGGTTCAAGATTTTTCTCCCTTCAATGAATACTCTTCCATTCCAGTCTTTCGTAGCTCTCCTGATTATCCATTCTCCATAGATATTGAAAAGGAGTGGTGAGAGGACACAGCCCTGTCTCACACCCTTTCCCACGCTGAATACACCAGAGCATTTCTTCTCTACTCATACCCGTGCCGTATTACGATTATAGAGAGAGCTTATGAGATATATTAGATGCTCCGGCACGGCCATCTCTCCGAGTATACTCCAGAGTCGACCCCACTGGACGGTGTCGAATGCCTTGGAGTAATCAAGGAAGCAGAATATTGCTGGCACATCATACTCATAGAGGTTTTCGATCATCTGTCTCACATTCATCAGTTGATCTCGAGTGCCGCGTCCTGGAGCAAAACCCGACTGTTCCAGAGAGATCTGTGGAAGAAGGTAAGGTTTTAGTCTTTCTTGTATGATATACAGAAGAACTTTGCTGAAGTGATTTATGAGGGCGATTGTTCTATAGTTGCTACATTCGTCTTTGGGTCCCTCCTTGTGTAGTGGTATGTATATGGATTCCACCTATCTTCCGGCCACTTGCCATTTTTCCATACTTTGTTGCAAATTTGATGAAGTATGTGAATCCCCTTCTCTCCAGTGTTTTTCAACATCTCAGCAACAATATTGTCTGAGCCAGCGGCTTTTTCATTGTTAAGTTTTTTGAGAGCCGCTTCTACCTCGCTTTTCAATATTAGAGGTTCATGGTCTTCAGGGTTTTTGAATGTTATCCTGCCATTTCCGTCGGAGAAATCGTCAGAGGCCATAAGGGTCTGACAATATCGTCGCCATCTTTCAACAATTTCTGGTTTTGTTGTAAGCTTGCCTCCATTGTCGTCCTTTATGAGCAGATAACAGGGCCGGAAGTCTTTCGAAAGTGTACGAATCTGTCGGAAGAGATCCCCTGGTTGGTTTGACTTCGAATGTTTTTTAATTTCCTGACATATCGATCCAACATATGCATCCTTGTCCATCCTCATAGCCTTATTTATTTTCCTTGTAAGGTTATTATATTTCAACGTGTTCTGGTTGTCATTGGTTCCTTTTGCTTTGACTTCGCGACGTTCTTTAATTAGATTCCATGTTTGTTGTGATATCCACGATTTCCTTGGTTGATCGTTTTTTCGCGAGTTAACAGAGGAAGCAGCAGCATCCATCACATTCTTCATTTCCATCCATAATTCATTGGCGTTCATACGGTCCATTTCTTCCTGTGTTATTTTGTCTAGAGTATCCGACATCTTTTTAAAGTCTGAGTTGCAACCAAGATGCCAACGGTTCATTTGTCGGGGCATCCGTATTGGTTTACAGAGTTTCAAACACAGCTCCGCGAGCAAGGCGTGGTCGCTTCCACAATCTAGACCTGGATAGGTTTTAATATCTCTTATGGATGTCTTCCATCTCTTTCAAGATAATTTATTTGATTTCGAGTGTGTCCATCTGGGGATTTCCAAGTGTACATTCTTCTGCTATGATGTTGAAAATGTGAGTTGGATATGTATAGCCCATTTTCTGCACAAAAATCAATAAGCATCTCTCCATGTTCGTTTCTCCTTCCGATACCATAATTTCCTACCACTGATCTCAGGTGTGCATCAAATTTCGTTGAACCGATTTTAGCGTTAAAGTCGCCTGTAACAATCAGCAGTTCTCTATTTGGTGTTCTAGATATGGTATCAGAGAGCGTTCCATAAAAGCTCTCTATCTCATCTTGGAAAGATACCGATGTTGGGGCATACACTTGAATGATATTTAAGTTGACTGGTTGTGCTTGTAATTTGATAGTGATAATACGATCATTTACTGTCTCGTATCCTAGGACCGCTCCTTTGATTGTTTTATCTATTATAAAACCGACCCCATTTGCCGAGTTCATTTCGTTGCCTGAGCACAGTATAAGATTTCCGTTTTGAGATGTAAACTGTCCACCGTACTTCCAATGTGTTTCTGATAATCCTGTCACCGATATTCCCTCTACAGCCCTCTCCACCACCGCAAACTTGCCAACTCTGTTACGGCCTTAGACATTCCATGTACAAATTTTGTGCATTGTCTGTTTTGTTTTCTGTAGCTTTCCAGTCGCATATTTTCTATGGAGAGTCTGGTCACCCACTACTCCACAGCCAGTAGCCAATTTCACACTCACAGTCGTGGTATTCGAGCGCCGGTTGCTAATCGGGTCAGTTTTCTTGGGACTCAGAATCACGCAATAGGATCCCTCTTCTTGCTGCGTCGCAGTTTCATAACCGTGTTTAGCTGATTCAGCCGCGCTTATAAATATGATGTGTAGTACCAAGTTCACCAAGTTCATCGCTACGATCGCCACCACCATCTGATAGTAATGCTGCTGCCCGTCACTATTTTGCTTTTATATTATCCCTAAAAGCGGGGTTGCCACTTCCGCCAGCTACGCCGAGTCGATTCCTCTCTTCCGTCATTGTGGACTTCACCCGTAATCCTGGGCAAGGGACTCTCACACAGGTGCTAGCTTTCTGGGTCAGAAAGTCTCTGAAGTCTGCGGTGGGCAGGGATCGACTCATCTGCCCTGATAGGACTATCCCTAGGGAGTTCCTACCCGCTACCCGCATAATACATATGTGTAAGTATATATCCTATCTAAGTAATAATAAGTATATATATACATATATAAAGAAAAGATATTTAAAAAACTAAAGTTAATCAAAAAGACTGAACGACATAGAGAAAAAGTTTCTATATTCTAAAATGTATTCTATATTCTATATAGAATATATTTTTTTAAATGTAATTTGTAGATTTAAATTTGTAGATTTATAGATTTATTTTTGTGTTAAAAAGTTTGATTAAAAAACAAAATATTTTTTATTTAAATAACCAATAAACGTAATAATAATGATTTTTATCAAGGAAACTAAACTACACATTAAGTTTTTAAATGAATTATCAAAGATTCTAGACTATAATGTTCTCTTACCCAATACAATATAATTATTAATTTTAATATTTTTATACAGAAATATTAAATATTTTTGGAAGGTAAAAAATAAAATATAAAATTAAGAAGTAAAATATTTTGTGTTTTATATTGTAATCTTTTGTATTATACATATTTTTAAGATATAACAGCAATTGAGTATTTCATATCACATAGCTTCTTTAATCAGACGGCAGTATTGATAGTTTTTATTAGTTATAACATAAATATATATGCGTATTTTGTGCACATACAAAATTAGGAAATATAAAAACGAAATCTCCTAATTTCAGTCAACTAAACAAAATATTATTCAAATCTAATTATAACATAAACATATCCTTTATCTATCATTTATCCTTAATCTAGTTATAACATAAATACATATATCTTTTGTATTTTGTGCAAATACAAAATTAGGAAATATAGAAATAAAAGCTCCAAATTTCAGTCAACTAAACAAAATATTATTCAAATCTAATTATAACATAAACATATCCTTTATCTATCATTTATCCTTAATCTAGTTATAACATAAATACATATATCTTTTGTATTTTGTGCAAATACAAAATTAGGAAATATAGAAATAAAATCTCCTAATTTCAGTCAACTAAACAGAATATTATTCAAATCTAATTACCTAACATATCCTTATAAACAGTCTTATTGTACCGATCTTTAAATCAGGGTCTAGAGAGGATGTTAAAAATTACAGGCCTATCTCTATTTTGAATGTCATGCCTAAAATCTTCTAGAAAATCATTACTGTTAAATTGTCCTACTTAATTAAACATGTCATTTGCAATGAGCAGCATGACTTCGTAAACGGTCGATCTACCGTAACCAATCTTGCAGTTTTCAATAATTATGCGTCCGCTGCTCTTGACTCTGGCTCTCAGATGGACGTTATATACACTGATTTCTCCAAGGCATTTGACTCTGTTGACCACAACATTTTGTCTTATAAATTAGAGGCCATCGGCTTTCGCGGTAGCATGCTATCCTGGCTACGTTCTTATCTGTGCGACAGGACTCAGAGGGTGCGCTTTCAAAATGCCCTGTCTAATGCGTTTCGTGCGTCTTCCGGCGTTCCTCAGGGTTCGCACTTGGGTCCTCTTTTATTTATTTTTTTTATTAATGACCTTGTGCGCAAATTTAAATATGTTAATGCGTTGCTATATGCGGATGACTTGAAGATTTTTTTGTCTGTTCGGTCCTTGTCTCAGTGTGAACTAGTGCAGTCCGATCTCAATACACTTGCGGAGTGGTGTTTGGATAATAATCTTCATCTGAATTTATCCAAATGCTATTGTATGACTCTTGTCATACTCATAATCGTATTGACTATCAATACTTCATTAATAATCATTTACCAAATAGCATAAACTCTGTTCGCGATTTGGGCGTGCTTATGGACTCCTCTTTCTCTTACAGCTCACATATTAATAATATAATAAATACGGCTCTTAAGATTCTTGGATTTATAAAGCGTTTCTCTAGAGATTTCCGAAATCCGGTCACTCTTCGCGTTTTGTATACTTCTCTGGTGCGTGCTCATCTAAAATATGCGACCGTTATATGGTCTCCCTACCACCGTGAACATGTTAACTCATTGGAGAGCGTTCAACGTAGGTTTCTTCGATTTGCATCCTTTAAACTTGGCTCTCCCATGAGCAGATTTGACCATGAGTACTCTCACCTCATGCGGCGTCTCGGCCTGCTCTCCTTAGAGGTGCGTCGGCTTGTTGCTGACTCGGCCTTTTTATTTAATATTCTTAACAGCAATATTAATTGCTCCTGTTTGCTGGCTCTTATAGATTTTAATGCATGTCCAAGACCATTGCGCACTTTTCCCCTGTTTCGGCCTTATATTTTTAGATCTAATTTGTCACATGTGGACGTTATTGCGAGAATTTTTTGGTTTGCGAGTCAGTCGCTTAAGTCGTGCGACCTATTTTCGACTTTTGTTTTTACTTTTAAACGCTCAGTCCGGCGAGCTTTATTGTAATTTGTGTTTTCATTGTGTAATTAATCCTTACCGTCCAGCATCTCGGTGATGCGTTTATCCTTATTCATATTTTTCTTTTTTTTATTTTCATTTTAATTTGTCTTAATTTTGATTTTATTCTGTCTATGTTTTATGTAAATGGGTCTTCCCGTATGGCATGTTAAATAAATAAATAAATAAATAAATAAATAAATATCCTTTATCTATCATTTATCCTTAATCTAGTTATAACATAAATACATATATCTTTTGTATTTTGTGCACATACAAAATTAGGAAATATAAAAACGAAATCTCCTAATTTCAGTCAACTAAACAAAATATTATTCAAATCTAATTATAACATAAACATATCCTTTATCTATCATTTATCCTTAATCTAGTTATAACATAAATACATATATCTTTTGTATTTTGTGCAAATACAAAATTAGGAAATATAGAAATAAAATCTCCTAATTTCAGTCAACTAAACAAAATATTATTCAAATCTAATTATAACATAAACATATCCTTTATCTATCATTTATCCTTAATCTAGTTATAACATAAATACATATATCTTTTGTATTTTGTGCAAATACAAAATTAGGAAATATAGAAATAAAATCTCCTAATTTCAGTCAACTAAACAAAATATTATTCAAATCTAATTATAACATAAACATATCCTTTATCTATCATTTATCCTTAATCTAGTTATAACATAAATACATATATCTTTTGTATTTTGTGCAAATACAAAATTAGGAAATATAGAAATAAAATCTCCTAATTTCAGTCAACTAAACAAAATATTATTCAAATCTAATTATAACATAAACATATCCTTTATCTATCATTTATCCTTAATCTAGTTATAACATAAATACATATATCTTTTGTATTTTGTGCAAATACAAAATTAGGAAATATAGAAATAAAATTACATATATATTATTAAGTAATTATAATATAAATATCCTTTTTAAACTTCTTTAAACCAAAACATAGTGTTACTTTTTAAACAAAAATAATTTGAACTTTTAACACAATTACAAATTAATAATTAATAATTATATTGCATGGTAGAATATCACAACTTAGAGTGCTTAGTATTTAAAAATTTAATGTAGTTTAATTTTCTTAAAAAATAATTATTATCATGTTTATTGGCTATTCAAGTAAAAAATATTTTGTTTATCAATTAAACTTTTTAGCAAATCACATTTTTCTCTTTGAATAGATATTTTTTCTCTATGTCGTTCAGTCTTTTTGGTTAATTTTAATTCCTCAAACAACATCTTTTTCTTTTTAAAAGTTAACTTTTCTTTTTTTAATTCAAGTTCTTCTACTTTTCTCTTATTTTCATTTTCTTCATAATCTCTTCTATCTTCATATTTTTTCTGAATAAATTGATGATGTTCCAACCACTGCTTCTCTAATTCTAATTTTGTTTGACATGGTTTTGATCCTGTTCCATGGCCTCTTTTCTGCCGTATTATTCTCATTTCTGTTCTAGTATCTTCTGCAGTAAGTTCTGTATCTTCTTGAATATTACTTGATTCTCTTTTACATATTCTATACTAGTTATATTCTAAGTATTTACTGATATTGATGAATTAAAAACATTTTCATTGCTTTCATTATTATTGCTTTTATTACCTAAAATTTCTTGTAATCTTTTTTTCGTAATCATCAAAAATCTTCGGGGCATTTCCACTTGTGCGAATATGATCTTTTTTTTTGTTATACGATTTTTTTAATGCACTAAATTTCTATCTAACCTGATCACCTGTTAACTGTACAAATAAATTAGAAAAATATAAGTGTATTAGGTTAATAAATATAATAAAATGCTTTATATCTTACTGGAACTTTAGATAAACATAGCCCATTTTAAATCTTGTGCTATTAATTGCCAAAACTTTTTGTTTTTTTTAGTATTATCAGCTTCAATGTCACGAGCTTCGTACACAGATGAAAGCGCGAAAGTAACTTGTTTATTCCATATAAATTTACTATCCTTCCATAAAAATTCTTCTTCGCGATGAGAAATTAAATTTGTTTTTTCTTGTTGTTGATTCATACCTCTTTCTTGTTGTTGATTTGTACATCTTTCTTGTTGTTGATTTATATCTCTTTCTTGTAAAATAATGTTTATAAAATCTGATAGTTATATAAAAGATTTGTTTTTTATAACTGAACTTCCTGTACTGAAAATGAAATAGATATAATAATATTTAAATGTTGGAAAGAAAGTGAATTAATGCACACTAGTGCAAGAGATGTTCAACTATGAATAACAAACCTATAATTGCAGTCAACCAAATTCTTGGCCAAAAGTAATTTTCCAGTTTTCTTCATTGTGAAATCTAACAAACAAAAGTAAAACCTTAGATTACAAATTTATAATTTATATTGATAAATTGAGATTTAACATTTTATTGAATATTTTACTTACGTGTAGTATATTACATGGTATATATAAATTATTTTATGTGAGTAATTTCTGTTATTACTACCAATTATAACCTCATTTATTACTACCAATATAATACAATTTATGCGTATACGATCAAATAAATAGGTAAATTTATTTTTCGACGTTGGTAGAACTGAATGTCACACACTTATACTCCGTTCAGCGAGAGAATGACTTCGGTCTGCGCATAGGCGGGCAAAGTGGGGAGAACATAGCGAGGTACTCAATACCGTATACGTAGATACGGCTTCTGTGGGTGAAGACCTGCGCGAAACAGACGAGTTTTTGTCCGACCAGAGGTCATTCTCTCGCTGGACGGAGTATAACTCTCTACAAAAGCAGAGTTAGCAAAAATCGACTTGAGTTGTTGACACACAGCGACACAATTCAAATGAAAAGCACAAATGATGATTTCACTAGACTTGTGTCGACTTGAGTCACTAAATGGAAAGCACCCATTATAGTATATGTCACATATACTATAATATCGGGTGCACTCGGCTGGGGAATCGGAACACAGCCCTGGAGCGTTCATTCATTAGCTTACAGTTGCTCTCATTTAAAAAGTAGTGTTCAGACGCAATTTTGTCAGAGAAAAAAATTGCTTCTTCTGGCACTGACAATCACGTTGTGCATTCCGTGTCCGCGAATTCTGTGATATCTTG